TATATATATATATATATATATGATCATTTCTGGATTGATCCAAGTCTATGCAGATAACATGTCAAATGAATAAAATAAATGGAATTTCCTGTTTAGTCTAATGACCAACAATGATCTTCTCAGTGATTGCAGATTATGATCATTGTGTTCAAAGGATTCTTCTCTTGGTATTTTAGACTTACTTAGGCAGAAGTTGTCCTGAAAGAAGGAGAGAAAGTCGCTGCACTGCTCCCGGTGGTTTCCACTGGCAGCGCACGAGCACCAGGGTCCAGTGTTGGAGGTGGAGTTGTCCAGATAGTTGGGTGTTATTGTACTTCCTGTGGAGGGAGAGAAGAATGAGGAACAGCAGCAGCAGCAGCAGCTTATCAGCAGCAGACACCCACTCCACCTTTTATTCACATTTTTTTTTTCTACTATTATTTATTTGTTTACTCGCGTTGGGTTTGGTGTAAACACGTAGGCTGCCTCAGAATCAGCGTCTGGCTCATTTTTAACCACAGTTCTTGTTTATTCACCACCTCATTAATGTGCATCAGCTGGTTCCAAAATAAATGGACAGGAGGATGTTCGTGAGCAACAATGGAATCAAGGAGTAATGACGTGAGTTTGTCTGACAAAAAGTTTTACTGTGAAATAAAAATAAAATAAAAAAGATCTGATTCAACTTCCAAGACTCTTTTATACTGCGATATTCGAGCAGTTATATGTTTGAGCGTAATCAGAGCTGATCTCTGTTTCGTGACTCAAGAGTGATGCCAACCTAAGGTCCTGATGGAGTTACCCAGAGTGCTAAGTCAATGGAGGAAACTCCAGGCCAATAAGAAGTGGTGGTGGCTGGTGACAAAATCACAATGACTGGGAAGGGGCAGCAAGACAGCAGCAGAAAATGAGACGTTGGTCGTTGTGGATGCAGCACCCAGTGATCTTGATCCCCATCACAGGACACGTGAGGGCTGTATGAACACTACTGTCCTCAGCTATGAAGAAGTCATTCACTGATGTTCTCCACACCAGGTCCACCCCGAAAATCAAGCTGTTGTGTTACAGAGAAAAGGCGTCAACACCACTAAGAAGGAGAACGGACCCTCCACCACCATCACCACCCTTTCCTTGCCTTAACCCAGTACCTCTCAAACAGTGGGGCGGGCCCCCTGGTAGGGCGTGGTGAGATGCTGGGGTTAACCCAGTACCCTTCCAATGGAATATGGCACGCTGGACATAAGTGTAATGCTTGAATGATAACAAGCCTCCAGTCACTAGGTGGCAGCAACGCATACAGTGGTTTGTACAGATAAAAATATACATGTTATCAGGTTCTCAATAGTATTTCAAGTCACGGTGGTGTGCGTTGGAGGGACGTGAAAACATTTCTGTCCTCAAGAGGGGGCATGAGAGAAAATAACTGAGAACCACTGCCTTAAACACAATGCACCAAAATGTGTGGGTCCTGTATTGGCGTCCACAGGAGCCACAAGTAGGCGACGCAGAGAAGAAAGTCTGGAGCTGCTCTTCAGATTGAAATCAGTCTCTGGTAAAAACTTAGAGAAAAGAAAACTCCATGAAAAGTCACCTGTTCATGAGAGAGAGCAGATGAAGTAGTGAGAAAAACGATGCTTAAAACAGACACCTGCAGAGCAGAAGTTAATGGCTCTAAATTACCCACAAGGCCGCGCTGCCTGTACTTGACAGTTTGATCTTTCAAAGAAAGAGAAAAAACAAAGAAGCAACGTTTTCTGAAATAAAATCCTCTTTGAGGATTTGTTTAAATAAAAATAAAACACACACAAAGGCCACACATGGGTATTAGTTCAGGGTTTTGTGCATCGTTCACTCTTAATTGACTGTAGGTGTGAATGTGAGTGTGAATTGTTGTTTGTCTTTGTATCTGACCCTGTGATGGATTGGGGAGGGTAACTCTGTTCTAAAACCCACCCTCCCACTCACCCTTCACCTCCATGACCCTGAAAAAGATTACATGGAAAAGGATAAATAAATGAATGAATGAATGAATAAATTAACGACTGGAATAAATGAATCATGACTGTCATGTTCATCAGGTCAGGCTGTTTACTGAACTCTACAACATTCAGAGCGTTGTGTTCCAGGACAGTATCGCGCTGACAGGACAGCTGTAGAGTCCAGGTGTGCTCCTCCCCCAGCAGGAAGAAGGTTTGACTTTGATCAAGTGTAAATTTCCACAGAGCATGGGTGAAGTTTGTGCGTGTGAGTCCGAGCCGCTGCTGTGTTTGCCTCCACCCTCTGCAGCCTCTGCAGTCTCTGCAGCAGAGGAGGACCTGAAGTCATTTTCTCCGTAGGATAATACGCTGTATTTCCAGAGGAGGTGGAAGTAAAATTGCAGCACTTTAAAAAGATGTGGTGAAAAAAGTTCTCATTTACCTGCATCGATTTTCAGGCTCCAGCCTCAAACAGCTCAGCCTTTCACTTCAACCTCCGTCCTTTGAAATAACTGCTGCACAGCCTTAAACTGTTTAACCCTCAGTTCACACGGTGAATCCTGGAAACTAGTCCAACAGCTTCATTTCCAACCGCTTATCATTTCTCTTCATCACTGTGGAGTTCTGAGGAAGGTTCTGAAGAGATCTTAGACTTTGACTGGGTTTCTCTCATGTTACCAGACATGGAGGTTACATAAGCCACGGCAGCCTGTAGCCAATTCACTACAGGAGAAAGTTTCTGAAAGAACTGGAACCACCACGACCCCCACTCTGCCCCCCAGAAAATACATATTATTGTTATGTATTACATGTGTCAAGGCTTGGGGTCCAAATGTGGCCCGCCAAGTCATTTTGTAAGGCCTGTGAGAGCTTAGAAAGTATTTAATAAACCCCATCCAGCAGGATTTCTTAACCTGATAAATGAAAAGGCTTTTTTTTATTACACAGTAATGAACAATATTTGTATACGTGAATAAATAATAATCAATTTCAGAAACATGTATTAATACGTTATGGAGTAGTCACATCTATACAGTCCATTTAAAAACCGGCCCTTCAGGGGCAAATGTATTGCTGATGTAGCCCCCCGGTGAAAATGACTTTGACACCCCTGATGTATTATGTACGTGTCCATTTTACTACCAGGCCTTGATGAAGGTAATATTAAATTCTACAGCAGCAGTAATAGAGCAGGAGTCAAGAGGATCTACTAATTTAGTCTGGAGAAAAGACTAATTTGAAACACTTTGCCTGAAGCTCCAGCTGACATCTGACCCTGTTTCTCTCCCCCTGCATGTCGAGCAGGAAATGTGATAAAGTTCTATTGAGTCAGAAGACAAATATTTTTGTTTAAAAAGTTATTTCTTTATCGCTGTTATTCCTCCTCCTTCTGGAGCACAATCACATGTCGACAACCTCTGTTGTGTTGTCACATCTTTTGTTCAGTTTTTTTTATCTGCACTACAATGAGCTGTGCCCTGAGCCTCCACCCCCTCCCACCCCCACTCATCATCATGTCAGGGATAATACTCCCAAAACAGCGGTCAATATTTGTAATTGCGCTCCTTATAATGGCGCTGACTTGTTGGGGTGGCAGCAGCCACATTAATCAGCGCTGCATCGATCATCGGCCTGCAGCCTCTCATCACAATCCTTCATTCATCCCTCTGACTCCTGCTCCCTCTGCTCCTCTCCGGCTTCCACACACAATTTTTCCTTCCTAATCCATCAGGGACGCTGTGTGAGTTGGAGACTGAGTGTGTTCTTACCGATCAGGCCGGTGTAGGCCAGCAGACACGCTCCGTAGTTCTCCTGTTTGCAGCCGCTGGCGCTCTGCTCCGAGGGTTGACAGTCGTACTGGAACTGTGCCCAACGGGACCTGTGGGAGCAACAACAGCCATCCATCATTTACCACCACACTGACTGCTGGAGTTGTCCTGTCACTGAAGGATAAACCACAAACCGCAGGATGTGAGTCTGACAGCACGGACACTCATCTGCAGCAGACAGAAAGTCTGCAGATCATTTAAGGAACAAGGGTCTTTATTGTCGCAGCACTAGATCCACACACAGCCCATAACATACGTGTGTCTTTGTGTATAACCATCTGTGAATGAAAAGCACTGGTGCAACTTCACAGGGACGATCACAGCAGTGGCTCAAATACTGTGGTAACTCTGTGAGCTAAAATCGCTGATTTCCTTAATACACCATGGACCTACTGGTCATGGGATTCTGACTAGCATTTCCCACTAGACCACTAGTGAGAAATCCAGGTTGTTCTCAGGATCAATACAATAAACCTTCAGTGTCAGAACGTTTTTGTCTTAATTGAAAAAACCGAGTTTCTCCTTCTGTCTGATTTAAAACAGAGTTAATCTGAGGACTAATGAATACAGAATAAACCTCCTGGTGGCAGAATCGTTTCACTGCAGGATGGTTTCATGTGGGACATGATCTATTAAGACAGTTATAAGGTTTGTATTTAATATTTAAACTTTTCCTCATGTTGTTTTGAACCTGACTTTTCATGTTCACTGCGTTTCCTTGTAAGGACAGGATGTGGCTCTGAAAACTGGCAGCACTTCAGAGCCTGAACATTCAACTTTATCATCGTCATCATTACCATCACCACAGACGCACAAGGCTAACACTGCCATCAGCTGACACCGTGACCTCAGATGGACTGACTCGTCTGCGGCTCCGCCCACGTCTGTCTCATCACTGTAATGATGTGAGGGAAACTTATGTTCAGAGTTAGTGTCAGCTGAAAGATCTGCAGCCGAGGAGCCTTGAGACGCTCCATCTATCCATCCCCGAGGGGACGCAGAACTTGCTCCGAATGATGGAAGTGACGGATGAAGGTCTTTGTCTCTGATGACATTTGAAGAGGACGGCGATTAAAGGCCGTTACGGAGACGGAGGAGACAGGATGAATGTGAGCTTCAGCCTCATTTCATCAACAGCGCAGCTGAACTGCTCCCTCTCCATCTGTTTATGACTGGGCCTGTTACAGAAGGCTTGGAGCTGGCAGAGCTGTGTGTCCTGTGTTAGTGAAATACACTCACTGATGAATGAATCAGGAACAATCTCACACACATTATCAGTGTCTTCCTCTGTGGTTCTGATCCTTTGTTTTCTGTGTTTTGATCTGAGTTCAGCAGCAGCAGCAGCCTCAGCAGCCTCCGCAGCAGCAGCAGCAACAGCCCCAGCAGCAGCAGCCTCAGCAGCCTCAGCAGCCTCAGCAGCAGCAGCCGCCTCAGCAGCAGCAGCCTCAGCAGCCGCAGCAGCAGCAACAGCCCCAGCAGCAGCAGAAGCAGCAGCAGCAGCGGCAGCAGCAGCAGCCCCAGCAGCAGCAACAGCCCCAGCAGCAGCAACAGCCCCAGCAGCAGCAACAGCCTCAGCAGCAGCAGCAGGTGTGATTCCACAGTCTGTTGTATTAATTGACTCTTTCACTCAGCGGACGCTGCTTTATTTCTTTTCAGCCTGGCTGCTTCCAGTGAAAAGCGATGCAGGCTGTAATTGGACTAATTAAAGCCAGATAACGAGGATCAAACCAAATTCATTCAACACAGCTGATTAATTACATCTGAACTCCGAGCAGGAAGAGTGATCCTCCAGGAGAAGAAGGAAACTGCTGCCGTCCTGAGGGACGGAGAGCAGAATAATCCACTGTCTGACAAGAATAATCTGTTCTCATCTGTCACACACACACACACACAGACCACACACACACACAAACACGGTAAGACAGCTATTCACACAGACACACACACATCAAAAGACACACGCAGCTACACCAAAACACAGAACCAAACACAAACAACCACACACACACCTACTAAAACACACACACAGCAGTGTGACAGTGTACAGTGTGTTCCGGTCCAGATGTGTGGTGGACTTATCTTGGTGCAGCAGAAGCTGCTGGAAGCAGTAAAACCTTCACATTCATTTATTCATGGCCAGAGAAGAATAGAAACATGTAAAAACACACACTCACATTAGTTCTACACCACTCTTATTTCCCACATGTTGGCTCTCTAAGTATGAATTAATCAGACGATGTAAATGGAAAATGAAGTCGTTAATTTTTTACAGCCTTTCCCTCTGTATTAGATTCCGTCCTCTTTAATCAGAATCAATTCTAATTTGACTGCAGTCAAAACTGTCAAAACTGTTCTATCCTGAACTGTTACCTTTATTTCCCCATTATTTTCCAGCATTTCTTATGACTGTATGTTGGTTTGGCCAAATTGAAAGAAAGACGGTTAAATACATTTCAATTCAAAATATTTTTAATAACAATATGGTAATTGTTTTTAGCTTTACTTGGTATTTCTTTTATATAAGGTGTGTATGGTATTGATCTGTTGCTTTCAGATGATCTTTTTCTCAAACCTGTGTAACTTTAACTTAGCCTGTTAGCGCTTTCAGCTATGTTGCTGTTTAGAGACTAATTTCTTGCCTATTTTTACAGACATTTTTTTCAATATTTTTGCTTTGTTACTCTCAGGTCTTGAATTTGATGATAAAACTAGGTTAGGCTAGGCTAAAGTTAAATGTTTCAAGCTAACTCATTTGTTAGTTTTTTTCACTCTTTCTAACACATTCAGGGCTTAGCGTGCGCTATAGATTGCTTAATGGGGCTAACATTTGCTTTTTATATCTAAACATAATAATTTTAAACACTTACGACATGTCCAGTTTTACTTTATAGTGAAGAAGTCAAGCTAGCTGCTAGCATAATCACAGCCTTGGCTAACCTTTCTTTTTTTGGCATTTGGCACAAAGTTGCAGTTTTCTTTTGATATTTTAAAAATATTTTAGCTGGTTTAGCTTAGCTTTTTTTACCTAGCATTTTGAGAAATCTGTTTTTTTTGTTTTGTTTTTTGTTTTCAAATTCCAGAATAAAAGCGACTCCTGGCTGGTACCTGCAGACGTAGTCAGCTTTACAGATCCTAAGCTGGGCCAGACAGTTGGGTTTGTCCTTGTCGTCGTAAGAACAGGACGGTACGATGGTTTGTCTGCGTCTCTCAGCACAGGCCGTGTCAGAGCAGGGACAGAAGAGCAGCTCGTGGGTGTAGTCGGGAGGAACCCGATCGAAGAACTTCCTCAGAGCTTTGTTACACCTGGGTCTGTTACAGGGTCCGGAGCGAGCTGAGGGCTGGATGCAGGCCGACACGTACTCGGTGCGGAGCTTCTGACAGGTCTCGTCAATGTTGCAGGCTTTAGCAGCGTCCAGGCAGCGGTTCACCGTCGTCACCTCGGACTCTGAGATACAGAGAGGAAAACATTTCATTGGCGTGTGGGGTTAGCGATAACCAACCACTGCAGGAGCTGAGTGAAGTGGGACTCCACTGGACTCTGGGTCTGGCCCCCTGGCCCCTAGGTGTTTTTTAAAAACAGAAACTAAAACCTGTCAGGGTGAGACTGTCAGTCAGTGGAACTGTCTGAAATGACTGAGACCTTGTCATTGAACCGGGTTTGATTCAAATTCTGTGAAAACATTCAGTCAGTGAGGAACTGAAAAAAAAAAAAAAACAGAATTAAAAGAGAACTACATTCAGGAGCAGACGGCTGTGTTTGTTTATCCTCCTCTACAGAATCCTCTATGTGAACTGATGAATTTTACATCAGACTCCTGCTGCACTCACTCTCCTCCTGTGACTGTGCTGAGGAGCAGGCGCAGGAGCAGATGAGGCTCAGGCTTAGGCTGAAGAGGAGTAAGAGGAGCGTGAAGGCATAAATGTGGAGCAGGGGCTTCATGGACCACAGCAAAAATGCTCTGAGCTAAAAATGTGCTTGGAATTGAAAAACCCTCCCCATCACCTCCTCCCTCCTCCTCCTCCTCCCTTTTTCGGTCCTCTGAATAAATGATGAGTTTAAAAAAACAAAACACTCCTGTTTTTGTGAGAACATTCAGTTTCCAGCCAGTGCAGAGACTGTTGATGGAGATTGTTAACCAGTCCTACAGCTCAATCACCTCCTCCTCCTCCTGCTCCTTCACAGCAGTTAAATGGGGGAGTCCCCTCCCCTTCTTGAAGCCTTGTTAGTTCTCTCTCTAAGGTCATTATTAATATTTGATAGAACATCTTCTAGAAAGCTCCTCTCACACAGAGACTCCACTCAACAGTCACTCTGCGAACTAATGAGAGACACAGAGGAGGCACAGGAGGAGTGGGGGGGCCTGCGGAGAAGCAGGAGGATAAGGAGGAGCAGCAAGAGGAGAAGGAACAAGACAGGCAGCAGGATGAGATGCAGGAGCAAGAGGAGGAAGGATAGCTGGGGAGTGGAAAGAAAAGGGGGAGAAGCTGGGGCAAAACTAAAAGGAGGAGAAGGAGTCGGATGTTTGATTTGAGGTTAAGAAAATTAAACCAAAAAGAAAATGAACTGATTATGAGAATGATTATTTGGAAGAGTGATTTATTGAAGAGGTCTCAATGGATGGATGGATGTGTGAAGACTCCTGATCAGAACCATCTGATTCAGGGTCACAGGTTAAGGGTCTGTGTTGAATATTCTTCAGAGTACAGTGGTCAAGGTGTGTGGTTTTAAAGGGCTGAGAACAGAAAAAGCTCATTACCCTGTTTAAGAGAAAAATGGTTGAAAACAGCCATTAATCACATCTCTGTTGTTTTGGCCGTGGAGCGGTGCAGATGAATGACATGAGCGTGACCTCTGACCTGTGGTGGAGAAGCTGCAGAGAGATTTATGAGGCGGTGGCTGCAGCAGCTGAAGAGTCAGAGTCTGGACGTGTCATAACTCACAGCAGCCTGAGATGAGAGCTGTCACTTCAATGAGCAGCTCATGAATGAGGTCAGAGAGGAGAAGACGTCTCCAGGATCAGAGCGGTCCAGAGGTTCTGTCCAACATTTCCACTCCTGCTCTCAACTTTGAGCTGTTTTACATCTAAATGTTGGCAGAAACCTGCGGTCTTACTGTCAGAAGCCACTTGGGTTTAAGTATCCAGTACTTTGAGACTCGCCTGCAAGTGGAATTAAACCTCTGACCTTTAGCTAAGAAGACAATCTGCTCCAACTACTGAAAGTGACTTTGACTTTAAGCGGTCACTTGGAGCGGTGGCGTCCCGTGATCACGCACACATTTGTTAACGCAGAGCTGGCTGTGCTGCACCTGTGTGAGCTGTGGTGCCGCTGGTCCACGTTCAGCCGACGCTTCTCTTTTTCGGATGGATGGAAGGATGGATGGATAGACGGATGGATGGATGGATGGGTGGATGGATGATGGGTTGATAAATAGATGAAAAAGTTGGTGCATGGATATATAGATTATTTATATTTGGATGTACTGTATGTATATATGGCTAGAAAGATGGCTGGACACTTTGACAGAGCCCTCTGCTGGCCAATTAGTTCATGAGGAAAAGTATAAGACACAGCGTCTTTTCATGCTACGTATCTGATACACAAAACCAGTCAAAAAAACAGACATTAAGCCAGTCATTCAAACAGGACTGATAGCTGCACTTTACTGCCCCCATGGGGCAGGAGAAATTAGTTACCACATGGGGTAAGTCAGAAAAAAAAAATTGAAGCAGCGATGTCACAAAATTACACAATTAAACTCGGCGATGGTGGCAGCAGGGTTTTATCGACTGTCCTTGTCCCTGTGAGCTAAAATCACTGATTTTTTTTCCTCTGGACTTTTTCAGGGAGAAAAATTAAAACTCAGACCTTGAACCTCAGTTTGTTGATGCGATTTAAAACCAAATTTTGTTTTGATGAAAACATTTTTGTCCAGCTTTAGCACATGTTTAATTATGTGCTCCATAAAGGCTTGAACGTGTGAGGCGGTTATTATCATACAGTAAGAAATGCCTGGCTGCCCTCTTCACTGCACACACATCATTGAAGTCATTATCTCCTTTAAAGCCTCTCAGGAACAAGAAAACAAAACACTTGACTTTTGTCCTTTTTTTAACATAAAAAGCTCCTTTGTGTGTCAGAGCGGATCTTTGAGGAGTTGAACAAACTCCTCGCTGCTCCTGACTTTTTCTCCACACTCCATCCTTTTACAGCCTGCAGCTGCATTAAAATAAACAGCTAATTAAGTGGAGCCCGGGGTGAACAGCAGCACAGAGCAGCCCTGAGGCCCCCCCACAGCCAGAGAGCCAAGACACACGCAGAGAGAGGAAGTGTGTTAGTCATCAAACACCGAGTGTATCCACCTGCACACACACACTCACACAAAATGACAGCAAACAGGTTCTTGTGTCTGAATCTGAATAAGTCTGAGGAAAACAACATTTTCTTTTTTGAATCACCTGCAGCAATGGAGGCCAGACGGACGTAGTCGAAGCCTCTCTCCTCCGGTTCGTAGGGAAAACTCTCCACCAGACTCAGACCTGAAGACATAACAGAGACACGATGGACAAAACATAAAACTCTCATTTTTTTATTTTTATTAGGTTTGAATTTTCAGCCTAATTTAGACAAATATTCAGTTGAACAAAGTCCATCCTGCTGCCAGCTCTGGGTATGAACTATTTTTAAAACAAAATTTCATATTAATATCCATAAAATGTATTTTATAGAAATAGAAGTGTGGAAAGTTGAAAGTGAACTCCTGTCACTGTGACACAGTTCACCACTGCACACAACCAACTGTGACCTCTGTTTTTAACCCATCACCACAGTGAACAGTGGCAGCTTTAAGAACCAGGAGCAGTGAGTGGAGACGGTGCCTTGCTCAGAGCAGCTGGTGGACTCAAACCTGAAACCTTCTGGACCCAAGTCTGCTTTCTTAACCACTAAGCCACCACTGCCCCCCTGAAACAATTTTAAACAATTAAGAAATATGAATTAGCCATATATGTCTGCGTGTTTACATGGAGCATCATGAAGCAGGAAATTTAAAGGTCTAGTTCACAGTTTTCCTTTTCTTATTTTGACCTCAATTTGTTCTTAATCCTCTGTGTAAACAGAATTTCTTTTTTCCAGATTGTTTTGCATTAACATGTTGTTCAAATATTGCTGCATCCTGTTGATTATTTTTCTGTGAAATTAAACATTAAAAGATTAAAAGGATTAAGAAATGAAACGTGAGCCTGTGATTGGCCTATTTTTGACTCCGTGCACCCTCTGTTATTCCCCCGATCCGCGTGGAGGCAGAGGTTTCATTAACATTCTCGGCTCTCACCGTGCAGCACAGACTGGTGGAGGCTCCAGTAGATGCTCAGACAGTTCTTCTCCTTCTTCATGCCTCGTTTGCACTGACAGCCGTGCAGTGGCGTGGACAGCAGGGCCGTCATGGCGTTCTCACAGTGGTTCCTGGCCCCGGGCCCCAGCTTCATACTGCCGTCTCCGGCCACGCACTGCCGCAGGGTCCGCAGACGAGGACTGCAGGTGTCGTCGCTGGAGCAGGAGTCTCCCGCACGCAGGCAGTCTCTGCCGGCCATGGACTGAGCCAGAGGAGGAACTCCTGAAGGTTCAGGCAGACAGGAGACAAACAGGGGTCGGATCAATAAACAATCATCAGAAGTCAGGGTCAGAGGTGCTGACACCTGCTGGTCAAACATGTCTGTTTCAATCCAAACAAACAACTGAACAAACGTCAGGGCTGATGATCGTCTGTGTGCTGGATCAGCTTGGATTATTTTAATGATGTAACCGTGATGAAGTTTAATATGAACTTTATTAGATTATTTTACGTCTCCTGTCAGGAAGAATCAGACTCAGTCAGTGATGCGTCTCCCTGCTGCCTTTTCACTTTTCCCTTCATTAACTCCAGCAGCCAGGCTCATTATTCAGGAATTCATTCACACGTCACATAATGTAGTTGTGTTTTGACACAGAGGAAGGAGGAGGAGGACGGGTAAGAGGAGGGAGGAGGGGCGGAGGGAGAGAAGACGACAGAGAGGAAAACCAAAGGGAGGACATGAGGGAGGAGAGAGAGGACGAGAAAGGAAGCAAGAAAGAAAGAAAAAATGGAGGACGAGGAGTGAACCATGAAATGTGAAGCCAGTCCACAGTAACAACCTTCACCAGGATGAAGAGTCAGATTAGGTCAAAGCTGTGAAAGCCAGCGTTTGACCACAGTGAAGATCAGATTTCTCACAGAAGTGATCAAAATATGGCATGGCCATATATGATAATATTTTAAAACTTTAATTCTTACTGCACATTTCCAGGTCATCAACTCTTATCTGCGTGTGTCTACACGCTGCAGGACGTCGGGCCTGATGTTTTGGCCTGGTGCCAACATCTCAGATCATCATCTGTGCTGATAATCCAGTTTTAATCTGATCATCACATAATCAAAACTGTCAGAGTCTCCACACCAACTGTGACCCCCATGACTTTGAGGGTTTCTTTTTTTTTCTGGCATTTGTGTGTTGGGGAGTGCTGTTCTAACAAAAAAGTCACAAACCTTCACCAGCCAAGTCAATAGACATTATTCTTAAACCCCTGAGAAACTCTTGTGACCCACCTAAGGGTTGCGACCCAGTCTTTTGGAAGCAATGGTCTAAATGGCCCAGTGTGTGAGGAGGAGCAGAACGTTTCTCTTTCTTTTTAATCATTTTTTTAAATACTCAAGTCTTCTACAAATTTACAAACATTTTCAAAGATCTTCAACCTCCAGTGTGTTTGTGTGTGTGTGTTCTGACGCAGGAGGTGGAGCAGAGGACGAAGTTCAAACACAGCTTCTGCTGCAGCCTCCAGGCTGAGGAGATAAAACACCAGCAGAGGCTTCAGAAGTGATGGAGAAAATAAAGCAGATTTAGATGCAGATAAATCAGCGTGGACTCCTCAAAAACAGACTCCGAGGAGCAGAGAGGAGAAATCACTTTCCTCCACAGAGGGACAGGTAAAAATGTTTGTTTGTTTGTTTTTGTTTTCTCTGATTTTCTCCACCAGTCTGTTTCCCAGACTCCAGACTTCTTCACTGAATCAGCCGTGGACATAACTGACATGCTTCAAGGAGCAGATTAACCATGTCATTTCAGTGAAAGAGGAGCTGCGCAAGAGAAGGAGGAGAAGGAGGAGGAGGAGGAGGAGGAGGAGGAGTGCTTTTCTGATGATTTTCTGATGTTGATACAGAAGAAAATGAACTTCTCATGCCTCTGATTTCAGCTTCAGTCATCGTTGTTAAACAATAGACAAGGATGAAGAGAGAGTGAACGACTTCAGATGAAGTGTGAGAAAATCTTCAGATTCCTCAGACGATTGAATTTTATCAGCCCAGAAAACATTTGGACACATGGAAGAACCGTTTAATAAGTTTATATAAAAAAAAATCATCAGCTGTAAGAATATAAACGATTACAGTCACTGCAAGAAAATATGGAATAAAAACTGTTTACAAATGACATTTTAGATGAACAACAACAACAACAACGTTGGCAACAACATCAAATGTGACACATAAGAGGATTAGGAAGTGTTTTATAAATATATAAAAATCATCAGATTTTTTTTGTCAGAATAACAACATCCAGAATAATGAGTTATTACGACTACAACAACAACAATGACAACAACAACCACAACAACCGCAACAGTGTTAACAATGAAAACGACACGAACAACAGCTGAGATACTGCATAAGAAAAAAAAAACCTCATTTGTAAATGTGTAAAAATAAGCAGAATCTGAATGACAATATATTTACAATGACGACCACAATAAAAGAATAAAAACTCTTTTCACAGTTAGTACAGAAGATACTACATGAAGAAGAACAAACACACACAGGGCCTCCAGTGACATTTATGAAGGAAACACAGGTTTCAAATTAAATGGTGTTTTCTTATATTTTATAATATATGTTTAAAGTATAAAATGGCATCTCATATATTTATTTTTTTAACCTTTCCTTCCAGGCTGGACTGAGGAATGTGAGACGTTTGTGTGAAGCTGATGTTTCACACATTTATTCTTTCAGTTCAGTTTTTGTTCTTTTACTAAAATCCATCTTTGTCCACAGACCTCCAGCCTGAGGTCAGTGTGTGAGCCCACTCTGGTTCCAGAACTATTCACCTTTGACGAGTGTGTGCGGGCCTCTCCCTCGTTGTGTGTGTGTGTAACTAACAACAGAACATGAAACAACACCGTACTCTGCTCTTTTACACACACACACACACAGACAAAAGCAGAAACCCACGGCTCTGTCTTCTCTCTCTGGACGATAATTGTTTCACAAATTTGCTGCCACGGCTGCTTTGCCTGTGAATCATCGATTCAGCAAAACATGATGAAATTTGGAGGAGAACCAGGAGACTGTTGTCGTGGCGTTGCAGATGCTAATTTCCTCCCTCACTCTCCTCAGTGTCTAATCAATGGTGCAGTGAGTCAGTATCATGGTCCTGCTCAACAGCAGTCTGATTTTATTCATCTGTGAGGCTTTGATACCAAATGTTGGTTTTAAACCTTTTCTCACAGTTTGACAAAGTTGTTGGACTTTTAAAGGAGTATTCATATTTTTTATTTTCATTTATTTATCTTTTTATTTACATTACCAATGCTCCTTAGTATTATCTCCTACACTGAAGGTCGACTTTTAAGAATGAGTTATAAAATTGTGCATTATATAATACCCAGACACTTACGTGATGTTCTACCATCTTCTGTTTCCTATTCATCTCCTTCCTTTTCAGTCTTGCTTCTCAACTTCCTGTCTGTTTTCTTGTCCACCACTTTTTCCCATTTTAAAAATACGGGGATATATTCCCCATTGCAGACAGGAGTCAGCAAAACTCTGCTGTTCATTGCACTTTACTTTTGATGGATCAGTAATTTATGCTGACGACTCCTTCACTCTCACAGGGAAAATAAATATGAATGCTGACCTTTTCTAACACAGGCATGCTGCAATTTTTATGTCAACTCCACTTTTTCCCGGTGTAAAGCCGAACGAGCCGCTACCAGAACATTTCCCTCTCACTGCACATTTGTGTGAAACCCAGGCCCCGCAGAGAAATGGTGCCGCGTAATGAAATGGTTGGTGATTTCCTCTTCAATGCCAATGCATCTGAGGGTTTCATGCCATCATGAATAGAAGAGAAGGAGAAGACTCAGAGAGTTGGCTGTGACGTGAGAGGATTAGCACTGGTTCACTGGGACAGTCCTGAGACAAAATGTTCCGAACACAGACCAGAACTTAATGTTTGTCTGTTGCGAGACAAAGACTCAGTTCTGTCACCGTCTACAGATATGGAATGTTGGCTTTGGATCTAGCCAAAAAATTAGATTTTTGTGGACAGATTTCTCAGTGTTTGACCTCAGTCCACCCCGGCCTCAGAGCAGCTGCTCCTGATAAACTGCTCTTTGGTAAGTCTCAGAACTGCTCCTTATTCTGAAGTCCACTCTGCCATCTGCAGCCTATGGTTCCAGGCCCACAGTCCTACATGATGACAGTGATCAAAGCTCAGAAGCCATCAGCAGGACAGGCTGTGGTTTGTGCTTCAGTGCTGTTCGAGCAGCGCAGAGCAGAACGTTTGTTTTTACACATCTGTTGTTTCTCAGAAACAGCCTTTAATGACAGTGGTGGAGACACAGAGAGACAGGCTGAACGTCATGAGTGTGTGAGTAACAACGCTGGGATGTTTTCCTGCTCCACAGTGACACTGACAGAAGAACACAGATGTCAGCTCTGGTGTTGGAGAACAACCTGACTGTTTGTGTTTGTGTTGTCACTCTGACCTTTACACCCCTGAACCATGTGTAAACACGGAGCATCAGCTGACGCCCTCTAATGTAGCCATGTTGGAGTTTCAGGTCTGAAAGTCACAACCTAAATGTACACACACCAGAGCTAACATTAGCTCCAACAGTTTTATAGAATGTTTCCGTAGTCCTGTTCTATCGCTGACAGACTTTCATGATGATGGTGACCCCTGACCTCTGACCTCTGCAGCCTGCTGTTGCTCCAGACTTTCTTTGCTGATCAGCTTTGACCAGAGGACAGAGATTTTGGAGAAATCACTGGTACAAACTCGCCCTGTTCCAGGCTCTGACTCATGGGAGGATTTTCTTCAGCAGCATAAAAAATACAAATATATTCACAGTAAATCTGTGAGCAGAGGAAGAAAATCACACTCTGCTGGTGTTGTTTTCCTTCCCTAAGCCTCTGCATCTCAGAGCTTCAGACTGGAACAACTGCTGCCTCTGACGCTGCCTGATGTTTGTGAAAATTCTCTTGTTTTCTGTCTCACAGGTTTGGAATTTATCCTTGTATTTTTATTTCAGCCGCTGCTTCCTTCCTTCCTTATGCTGGTGTTTGTAAAGGTTAAAGAATGTAATGCTAAGAGAGCTTGATATAGGGAACTAAATCCGCATGACACACACACACACACACTGCATTTTTATTTTACCTCTGTGCTGCATGTACATATATATATATATACATATAAATATATATAATGAACCAATAATTAACTATTTTTAACTTGGATCAGTTTCATGTGATAAAGGTAGTCCAGTGATTTATCGGGGGATATTGTTTAGAGATACTTGTCAGATATACAGTAGTATTTTCTAATGTATGACAACATTGAGAACCAATCAGAAATCACTAAATCATTTAAATAAAAATGTGAGATTATCAATGGAGAGTATCCCACCCTGGTCAGACTGGTGTAAAGTCAAAGTGACCGTCATGTATTGATTTCCATGTATTATTCCACACGTGTTCATTCAACAGCCCTGGCTGAGCTGTGGTGCTGTCCATGGTGCTGAACCTGCAGCTGTTCTGCCGTTACTGTTCATAGCACTGCACATGTTTTGGACTGAGTCACTCTTGATAATAAATGTAATGAGTTTCTGTAAATGAGTCATCGTCGCAAATAATTGATCAGATGGAGATGACCTCAGCACTGACCTCAGCCACTGACACAGACTGTCTGTATAATGACGATGTTTGTGAACTAATGCAGACTGACACATGATTTCAGTTCATGATTGAGGAAATTTGGTTCAATTCAGCTAATCAATTTTAGCTCAGGAGCTAAAATAGATTTTTAGTTGAAATTATGTCAATGTTCTCCTCTTTTCTGTTACTACTGGAGAAAAAAAAACATTATAAAATGTCATGTTGGGTTTTTTTGTTGTTGTCTGTCTTCCATCTGTGACTTCCCTGTCGGCTCAGTGCAGCACTCAGCCTCCATCACTCTCTACTTAAGATTTAAATTTTTAACATCAGTCCACACATGTCAGCTCAGGTTAGTCTGACTGCTGTAAAAACCAATTCCTGAAGGACGTGCTCTCAGGGCCTGTTCTCACAGACACTTCCTCAACACTTCTGCTAAACTACAGAAGAAGACGGAACATTTTAGCCTGTGGGCAGGCAGTGGTGAGGAAACACATTCCAGCTCTGAGGAAAAACCTGGATCAGGATGCACTTGAGTGTGGGCGTCCATCTGCTGCAACTTTGTTTTACACTGTAAATTATGTTAATTTAATTCTGCCTTTTTGTAAACTGTGAAAAAGTTACAGAAACAAGAGGGAAAAAAGTCTCTGTCAGATCTGATACTGGAGAACTTTCTGGATGTTCTGTGTGGGATTTAAAAATGATTTTACATTTTTATGTTAATTAAGGTGCAGATCAGTGGGTGTCTCACAGAGTTAAGGTTTTACTTGGTGTGAAAAAAAAATGAAAGCTGTCGACAACGAAAGGAAAAGGTTTTAGATTTGCTGGTTTGAGTCTGGACATTTCAGTCACAGAACAACATGTTTAGACAAAACTACACTCAGAATAACCAGGTTTGAATGAATTTACCCAGCAGTCTCATCAGGAGCCCTGTATGTTTCCTGTTGTTGACAGTTAAAATTACAGTCATTAGAATGTATGCTCAATATCAGCCTTGGAAACGCACTCGTAGTCATTGAAATCATAGCTTTATACAAAAACAGATGAGATTCTTCCAGGATCAAACACCGTCTAAACACCGTGGAAATATACACTGGAAATGAGGAAAATGCAAAAGCTTTTCAGGCATGATTTAAAAACCAAAGCAACCAAAACATATTCAAACAACCGGAGGTCGTCAACAGGGCTGCAGAGGTATTACACCAACGTTGCTTCATGTGTTAAATATTTCTACTTAATAAAAATGCAAATGAAAGCCATTTTTAAACTACAAAGCCTCTTTTAAACCGATGTTCATTTTTAATCCTGACATAAACTGTCTGTCTCCATTGAGTCAAATCTGAAGCTTCTTCATTCATAAACACTTGACTGTGATAATGTCCTGCAGACTGGGGTCACTCCTGCTCTGGACTGTGGCTCACAGAACCCTGTGACCTCATCAACAGAACTACATCAATCTGACCCGGTGTTTTTCTCTGCGATGACTCTGCTCCTCTGCTGGTGATAAATGTCAAGAGATCGACTCTGCTCTGCAGCTGTGTGTGAATATACTCACATAACTATTAGATTCCATGTGCAGGCTTTTTTTTTTAAATTTCACCCACAAAGTATTAAAAGTAATTATAGCAGCAAGATAAACACAATTAACTCAGCACGAAACTGCTCTGCAGCCTAGCATGAATTATCCTCCACTAATTATCCTGCTACGCTTCAACACTTTGTTGTCTTGTTCCCAATAAAGATTCATGCTTTGCTGCTGATTCGCCATTGCTCTTCAATTTAAAGGGACAGTTCGGGGCTTTTTATCGAGTGGCGCGTTGTGTGGGAGTGACACATAATCGGTGCCATAGAAAACCAATGGGGTCCTGAGAGTGTAGCTGCCCGCAGGGACTGAAGGACGTTTAACCAGTTAACAAAGAGCTGGACTCGTTCATCTGTGTCTGTGGTACGTTAACAACATGTTAATCCACTCCTCCCCTGATTTTAGAAAACATTGTAATTACACAAACTATGTTAATTATTCAAAGAGTGAACCACTTACTCTCTCATCGCCAAACCCGTAGAGAAAATAAATGAATTTAGATCACATGACAGATCATTTAGATAAAAACAACACAATGTTAGCTTACATAAATACAACATATTTTAGTACACAATTACAAATAAACATAATTAAAGAAATGCAATGCGTTGTCAGTTAGCTCGTATCTAGCATGTTTTTAGCATGATCAATGGATCGCTAAACTGTAGCGTATCAGTGGCGTGTGTGAGGTTCACTCATTTACTGTATGTAAATACACAGAGAAACGCTTTCTGCCAATGACCTAGGGGACATTTGATTTTAATTACTTTGTGTTTGTCAAATAACCTGACGCCGCAGCTTCAATAAAACCAGTTCCAGTCAGTGACAGAGTCTTTAGTCCTGAGCCTCTCCTCTCTGCCGACTCTCACCCTGGAGGCCACACTGGAGGCTTCGCTTGTGCTGCTGAAACAGTTTGTGTCTTGTTCTGACTATCGGAGCTGAGATAGTTAGGAAAAGAGCAGGGCCACGTTCCAAACTCCTCCATCGAGCTGCCCTTTAGTGGCAACAACAAGCAGTGTTCCTGCAGGTTAGTCACTCCCTCACAGGCTCCAGACAGCGCCACTGAAATGTCCATTTATTTAACAAGAAAAATACAGCCGAGGACAATGGAGAGTGTGTGTCTGAGTGTGTGTCTGAGTGTGTGTCTGAGTGTGGGCAAGCTATTATATCATATTATTATATAATTGTTTTAATGCATATTATATATTTGTATTTTATTAACATGCATTGTATTTGTTCTCAAGAGATTGTTAGAGCCATTTCCGAGTGTTACAATTTCAGTTATTTTGCTCTTTATTATGTGCAATAAATTCATTTTCCAAAGTCAATTGCTAATCATTTTTAATTACTGTGATTTAAACATTGACCATAAAAAGGTGATTGGGAATTATTTTCATAAACAGCCTTGGTCTAGAGACTACAAGATCACAAAGATCAAAGAGTCTACAGACTACAAGATCACAAAGATCAAAGAGTCTACAGACAAACGCATCACAAAGATCAAAGAGTCTACAGACTACAAGATCACAAAGATCAAAGAGTCTACAGACCAAAACATCACGAAAATCAAAGATTCTACAGACCAAAACATCACAGAGATCAAAGAGTCTACAGACCAAAACATCACAAAGATCAAAGAGTCTACAGACTAAACCATGTGCAAAACAGAATAAAGCTGGGCCGTCCTCAGAGGATGATGGTGATCGCTGAGTGGCAGTAGCAGGTATGTGTTTGTGTGTACGTGTGTGTGTTTTTGATGGAGGATAAGAAGTAATTGTCACCTTCACTTCCAATGTTTCTACATCAGCTCATTGAACACATGACCCCTGAGGATGAGTTCACCTGGAGCAACAGATTAGAAAAGTGAAGTTCATTTGCAGCAGCCACCGTCAGGCTATTTTTCTCATGAAGTTATTTTCTCTCTCCAGCGTTTAGTGGGTTTTTCTTATTTATTTTATTATGAAAACAGAAAATGTAATTTAGTTTTGGCTCACATTCCCCATGGAAACACTTCAGCGTTAATAATTGGACCAAACAACCCATTTTTATGTTTGTTTCTCAGTGTCACGGTTGTTAACTTCACAGCAGGGACGGAAATGAGTCCGCAGACTTCAACCAGCGAATGTCCAATCACATCCATCGGTTTTTTCTAACCTCTGCTGGACATCTTTACAGTTTCTCTGAAGATGTGAAAGGAGTGAACACTGTTGTCCAACTCCATCAACGTACGACAACCCCGCCCTCCATCTGAGCTTTTATTCAGTCATGTGTTTTTATGTCCTGGTAAAGACTCTGAGTCAGTGCTAATAAAATGTTTTACTGTCTTCACATTTAGGTCTGAGGGAAACGTGGCCCTCCCTACAAATACACCACACACACACACACACACACACACACACACAGTAGCTGTATTAAGACAGGAAGATGATACGACAAAGGTGGACTAAAGATGGCTGCTGAGATTGTTTGCCTTCATCACTGCGACGGATGGAAGTCATCCTGCAGAGTGTTTGTGAGACAGTCCTGGGATCAATGCTGTTTCTCCTTCCACTGAATATTGCAGTGATTTTTGAATGAGTGCTTATTTTCTGAAAAACTGTGTTGTGGACATACGCCGATGAGTTATTTTCAAAAACAAAATAGTGCAGTCATTATTTATTTATTTTAAAAGTGTGATTAACGTGAAAAAAGTTAACACTGCTAACACTGGTCTGAAGTGCTTCAACGGGGGGTTCGTGGACTGTACAGGGTCTGCGAAGGTACTGTTGAAGTGAATGAATAAAGGTCTTATCTTACAGTCGCAAACACACATTCAGCCGACAACCTGTCCATCCAAGTCTCCTGCTCACAAAGACGACCCCCCCCCCCCAGTTCAGACTTCGTCAGGTCTCTAATGATTGGCAGAGAGCTGACAGGAGTCCAAGACAAAAGGACGAGCATTAGCTTAGCAATACATGCTAGATAATAATAAAAAAAAACCTCTAATTCCAATCCATACAGTACTGGGACCATGTTCCTACAGCGGTTTGAGGGTGCTTCAAGGTAAAGGTCCTGGTCTCAACAAAGGTACACGACATCAGGCCATAATTAGCTTTAACCAAGCACTACTGACGACAACATTAGGTGTCCTGAGGTTTAGGTGTCCAAGTAACTGAGAGGACATGTCATGAATTTTGACCTCCTGGTCCTTGTGCTCTAACAGAGAAAACAAACCCCAAAATCCTCAACGCTGCAGAGCCAAGTTCCGACACAGTCCACTGTGTCTGTTTGAATTTACAGATGACAGAGTAGAAGGACGTCAAGGTCAAGAAACTGACGGTTTGTCCAGGGCATTCTGACGATGTAGCCGTCTCCTAGCATCGTCTCTCAGTTCTTTAATAAAAGACAAACTACAGATGTGGGAGACTGTTTCAACTTTTTCCGCCTCAAAAAATAAAAGGCTTATTTGACTGAAAACAACGAAAAAGGTGAGACGTCCTCACATCCTCCCATATGTGAACGTATTTACATGATGTGATGGACATGAAGACTGTACACAAAGCTGAGCTGAAGAAAATGGTGAAGACTGTTGCTGTTGCTGCTGAAGACAAGCAGAACAAAAAGACATCTGTTCTCCTTCCTCCCACACCAGTGTGTGGGCTGAGAGTTTCTTATTGATATGAGGCAGAAGCTCCAGGTCCTTCTGTGGAAATCACGTCTGAATATGGATTCTAAAAAGAACAAATCTGCCTCACACTTTCTCTCCAGCATGAACCTGCTCTGCACTGACGCCTCACCTCTCTAGTCCTTTCAAATGGTGTGTGTGCGTGTGTGTGTGTGTGTGTAAATTTGTGATTTCAGGTTCTATCTCGTGACTTCACTGCTGCAGTGAACTATTTTTCATCCTTTGCCTGTTTACAGTAAAGACCCATAATCCCACAGTGTCCAGAGTCGTCGTATCACATGGAGGAGACGGACCAATGAGCTTCAATAGTTCAGTGAGTCCAACCAATCTACAGTGATCCATCTTCTATCGTGGTTGTTGCGTTCCAAGACCCACCGCAAAATGAGAAAAATTGCGATGTGGAGGCAAAATAGTTATTATATCATTTACGTACAGCATATATTTACCCTTCCATATATATATATATCAACCCTCCCCCAGACCCCAGACTGTATCACCCTTTCTCACCCACTTATGTCCACAGTACAGTTGTATAAAGGAGCGAAGTGAAACAGAGAGTGGACGGAGAGGCTGAGAGATGCTACGACACATGAGCCAATCAGCATGAGGAACAAAAGAGCTTGCTCAATCAGCCAATAGTACACCGAGTACACATTGTATTAGCCAATAGTATGCTGTGTACGATCTCGTCGTAGGTAAACATTGTTCGCAAATGCACTTATCTCAATTTCAAAACAAGAATCCACATTTTTAAAGCCAAAACTTTCCTCTGTATAATTACTCTATAATGTCTTTTAGTTTATTTCTTGCTATATTTTGTGATATAGCAAAAATTTTGCGAGATCGGATTAAAATTGCGATGTACTGAGGGGAGTGAAAGAAGAACAGTTTAATGAAAACCCTACTCAGTTTACAGCAACATTTTAAATGAGCGCTCAGTTGTCGCCGCGAACATTTTATATCAATACTTTACATTTTGAGGCACAATGTTGTTCACAATAAAAAAACAAGAGAAGAAGTCAGTAGAGCGGAGATCCGTCCCTGTCTGCTGACATCAGCCCTTTACAGCGAGGACAGTTGATGAGGTGTGGAGCAGCAGAGTCAACACAGGGGACAGAAGAAGAGACGCTGGAGGAAGTCTGGTTCTGCTGCGTCGCTGATGTCACCGCCTGAGTCACTCTGAGCTGCAGCTTGATTAATGAGCCTCACGTTCCCAGGGGTTCTCCTCAGAGGGAGAACAAGGATCAATACAGCCTGACAGAAGACTCCAGAGCTGCTCCGTCACTGCTGCTGCTGCTGCTGCTGCTGCTGCTG